ACCGGGATTCCGTCCCGACTGCCGGGACCGGCCCGGAACCGGGGTTCGGGCCGGGATAGCGAGAAACCCATCCCGGCTAGTAGACCGGAATCCGGGGACCCGGACCCCGTCCTCCCGACCGGATAACCTGACCCCGGTTCTTATGGAGTGCAGGGCCTAGCCCCTAAGCCTAGCGACAGCCCTCTGGTGCTACTAGCAGTAATGGGGCCATATCAAGTCGGCGATTCCGACTCTCCGGCCGGAAAACCGGAAATCACGTCGGGACAGGAGGCTAATTCACGAAGCCGGTGTATTGGTCGGGCGGGACGGGGCGGTCAATTGTAAGCCACCCGGACTGCGGGTCTGCCGGGATCAGCCCAGAGGCAAATGCCCATCCCTGGTGCCGGACGGAGCATGAGTCCCAAAAGGATATCCTGAAAGTCATCGAAGTTCAATCCGTTTCGTCCTTGCCCAGGGGAAGGGCGGGAGTCCCGCCGCGGGACCGGTGAACCTTCGTGCTGTGATAAAGCGTGACAGGACGTAGATCGCGCATGTTAAATAATGACCACTGCGCTGAAGCCCAGATGTTAATATACCTCCTACACTCTCCTAAGAGAATGTAGGAGACTTGCCAAAAAATGCCAAATGGCATAACATGCAAGAAAACAGTTTCGCTGTTTCTCGCTGTAGGGAACGATCCAGACAGAAGCACTTTTAGATTCTGAATCGCCATGCTTTGCTATATACCCCCGTGTGAAAATCTACCACCCAGGGCTTATCCCACCATTTCGTACCAACTTGACACCCGTGATCTACCGTCGGGCCTCGAAGGTAGATATGAAAACAAAGGAATCTCCATAAAATCATCGCTGAGCGGGCGATTGACATGATGACGGCAATTTTTTTCTCAGAGAGGCTGTCTGACTTTGACACGAAGACCTACTACTAATTCTTCGTCATGTGCTGGAAGTCATCGTAGTCTAATTATTAGACTTGTAGGTATTATGTAGACATTATTGTTGTTATTAGACTCTAATAACAACAATTCCAGTGGAGAAGATGTACCTAATCGGCGTAGGGCGACCACTAACGTTTTCTCGGTGATCTCGACTTATAAGTACGGTGTAGGAAGATATGTACATTGTCAACTACATGTGACGGTTGCAATATGAGAATTCCAAGGAAATTTCGGTAAATTCTTGTTGGTTTCTGGACACTTCTACCCGAAATCGTCGTGAACTTGTAAAATGTAGCTTTGGAAACTCTTGAGCTCAGCTCAGCTAAGGAAAGCGAACATACATTCCAATAGCGTATACGCAGAGTACGATAGTATGCTTGGGCATCTTAGCCGTCGTTCAACCGAAGCTAGTGTCTACTATCCAAGAAATGATGGCTGCGTTGGCCAGTTACGGTTTGCCTTGGGGGAATCTGGGGAGAAACCACGAGAGGAAGGGCCCAGTTTCATAATCAGTGGCCATATGCGGATCCTGATTGATCGTGGGTGGTGACTGAACTGGAACACGAGACAGCCTTGTGGATGGCGTCAAATCCAATAGATTGCTTGGGCGCACGCTATTTGCAACAGCTTCCCGAGGAGGATCAGTAGCCATCCCAAGAACTTACCTGAATCGTAAAAGCTCCGGGGTTCTCCACCAACTGAACTGGAACACGAGACAGCCTTGTGGATGGCGTCAAATCCAATAGATTGCTTGGGCGCACGCTATTTGCAACAGTGACGCAGAGTGGTGACTCTACATCAATACTCAGGCTCAGATTTCTTGTTGATTCCTTAGAACTCACGAATTTGAAGTCGCGAGTTCAATCCCTGCTTGCTGCATCTCCGCTAATCCGCGTGGTCGTTCAATAATCCGATTTCGAGACCCAGAATAGCTTCTCACACGTATTATACGATGTTGGAGTCGATTCTGAATTCCAGAATTGATTTAGTGAACATGGGACATATTTCCTCCCCCACCCGCAGAGCGCGTGATGCAATATTGTGTGGGCTCCTGTACTTCTACTCCTATGGAGGATCGCGTTACATAGTCCAAGGTGGAAGGAGACCTATACGAACCGACTGACTGGTCGTGACACGGGATAGGAGAAAGGTAGGTTATGGATAATTTCGGGTCTACAATGCAGTTTTGGGGGAGTTTTTGACCTCCTTTTCAGAGAAGTATGTTGACAGATCCTCTTCAGTAGGTGAGGTATGATGATGCTGGACTGACCCTTGGGTGCGTCCTATAGTCCTGGTTCGACTCACTCGCAATGCCTAGATGCTGCATGACTGGTTTTACAAGAGTATTGATGGAGGTAGTGGGTTGTGTCGGACTCTCGTGGAGCTGCGAATACCAATTTCGCGTGTAAAAGCACGCCTCATTGGGGGAGGATGGTCGTACTTGTAATAGACTCGGCATCAGCTGAGAGGATATCGATACGTCCATTAAAGCCGCGAATCGATTAGCCATCACGAAGAGAGGGGGGTCCTGACTAAGAGGACTATCACCCCAGACTACCTTACCGGAGGGTATTGGTTCAGTGGAGTCGATTTGACTTGTCCACACTGTAGTAACATCGTCAATCATTGTCATGAAACTGTATTAACATCCCTGGACATGAAAGATATCTTTTTAGTGCTAGTCACGTGTCTCCAATCAATACTGTCGAGTGATACGAAAGATGTACCATCGTAGGTATCAGAGGCAGCTGAACTGTCTGCAAGGGCAATAGGGGAGGAGTCGATGAACGAACCCAACGGGAGGTCCATTCGCGAATCGACAAGGCCAGGCGAAAACAGAATGATAAAAAATGCCCCTTGTAAGAGTACCGACACTATTGTGATAAATTATCTCCATTACGCTACCGTTGAGCTTGTTTGCAGCCTCGGATACGTTTTTGTCCCTTATAGCGGATGGTGATTTGTCGGATTAACGGTATGGCGTGACTACTTTAACATTTAGTTTATGCTTCTGGCACACTTTCATTAGAAATTCCCCTACACTACTCAATGGGTCATTCGATGCTATTTGAGCGAAATAGAGAACGTATAAGAGAAAGACATGGCTCTAAAATTAATAGAGTTCGTGTTGGAAGTTTCTACC